GAGTAGAAAAGTGAGTCCAAAAATATTTTCTATGTCAAAAGATGTCGGAAAAATATTTGGGTAAGAATATTTTTTCTTCCCAAAAATATTTTCTAGTATCAAAATGATTATTTAAAAATTGTTTGACACATCTTTTGTAACTGACTCAATAAATTTATTTTTGAACCGTTAAAAAAAATTTCTATTGACTGCAAAAATGAATATAATTTTTAATGTATATCCCTCAAGAAAATAATAATTTTTTAAGTATAAAGATATGTTGTCATCCTTACAAATTTCCTAAACTCAAAAAAAATAAAAGTCTTCGGAACGCTTTTCTCTTCACCTCAAATAACTTGCGTAGGGATGTCGAAATGTTGTCGTTGTAAATTTCTTGATGTATCTCTTTTGCTTTCTTGAATCGAAAATAAATTTTTGTTTTGCGTTGCGTTTGTCATTTATCAAAACCTGAAAAAATATCTAATAATTAGTAATAATAATAATAACTAAAATAATAATACTAATAATAATAGTAATAGTAATAATAATAGAAATATTAATAATAACAACAACACTATTAATAATAGTACTAGTAATAATGATTATAATAGTAATAGTAATAATAACAATATTAGTAGTAGTAGTAGTAGTAATAATAATAATAATAACAATAATAATTATAATAAAAATAGTAATAATAAATAGAGCAATGTTACGTTCACAAACAGAATGTTCACAAACTCTACAAACTTACTTTGTACTATTTATGGTTTAAATTCTCATTTTAAAATTATTTTAGACTATTTAATTTTTTTTATTAAAATTCACAAATAGTAAGTTTGTGAAATTTTTGATAACTATGTTTGTGAACCAAGCATTTCCCTAATAATTATAGTCATACAGAGCCCACATGTGGTGTTGTTTATGTGACATTTTCTGACACCTAATTCTTTACAAGGAAAGTAGGAAATCAATACTCTCTAATGTGCTATGAAATTAATGAGTAAATTTAATTATGGAGGGAGTATCATAAAAATAGTTATATACTACTCCCTTCGTTCTCAAAAACACTTCCTCTTTCATTTTTTCCATTTCCAATAAAACACTTCCACTTTTTATTAAAAAACCACTTTTACCCTTACTTTTTCATATCCTACCTATCACATCATACTTTTTCACTAATAATCTATCCATCACATCTTACTTTTACCTATCACATCAAGGGCAAAATTGGAAATCAACTAAAATTTAACACCTCCTTATTTTTACACTTTGTCAAAGTAGGAACTCTTTTTTAGAACAGAGAGAGTATCAGTTACTCCCTCCGTCCCACTATATTTGTCCACTTTTATTTTTGTACACCATCCAATACATTTCTTTAATCCATTTTATCTTATAATTTGTATATTAAAAAATTATAGAAATTATATATTAATAATCTATATGTTAAGACAAATCAAACAAGATCACACATGATTATATTTAGGCTTACACATTGAGAGAATTTGATGAGTCAAAGTGCTTAGATGAACAGTTCCAAAAGTCAAAAGTGGACGAATATAGCGAGACGGAGGTAGTATTTCTTTTTGTATTTCGATGTATTTCTTCTTCCTTGTTAGCTTTTTCATTTTTATCATATGTATTTTGTTTTTTTTTGTAAAAACTTTGAATTAAAAAATGTTGAACAATACTTTATATATAAATTTCAGAGTTTACATTGCTAGCATTTCACATTGCTTAAGACTGACACGTGTCTCCTCCTCACGGATCTAAAATTAAAAGCATCTCTTTCATCTGGAGAAACAATCGCAAATCTTCCACCTAATGAAACTAGGGCTGGACACGGTACCGGTTCGGTACCGTCACCGGAAACGGAAACGGTACCGCCAGTACCGAGCACCGTAACGCACACCGGCACGGCGAAACGGTTCCAAGAACCGGCACCGGTACCGCCACAACCGGTCTCGGTTCCGGTGCCCGAAATTCGTTACCGGCACCGGTTAATTTTTTTTTTCGTTTTTTGCTCCTTTCTGCTCTCCATCTCCATCATCCGGTACAGGCTGCATCCGCTGCAATTTAATTCTCTTCAGCCGAAATTCTTCTGCTCTGCTCTCCATCTCCATCTCCGGCCAGGTGCCTTTTTCATCTCCTTCTCCATCTCCTTTTTCAGCCTTCTCCATCTCCTTTTTGCTCCTTTTTTCACAAAATTCAATAAAAAAGCAAAAAAAAAAAAAATTGGGGGTGGCCGGTCCGGTACCGGAACCGCCGGTCCGGGTACCGGAACCNGCGGTTTCGGAACCGTACCTTGTCCACCCCTAAATGAAACCATCAGAAATCTCAGAAGGAAACAATTGAAAATTAGTCTCTTCTTCTTCACCGAAGGAGACTATCAATTATTATCGGAATCTTTCCAAAACTGCACAATTCTTCATTCGAAATTTTTTTTCTTATGAATACTTTTTCAAAAATAGTCCGTTCTTTACCTCCTGTCATGTTGGTGTTAATTTAGCATCAATCTTATGCCCATTGACGTATTCTGGTATCGATCAGACCGACAACTTAGCAATAATGACTATGACTGTGGACTAGGATTTCGACGAAAAACCACATCTGTAAACTATAGATGCAGTAGAAAGCGACTGCAATTCTCAAACGACACATCAATAGCGGCCTCTGGAATTGTGTATAACAAAAAAGATATATGATCATTATGAAATTAATCGATCAAATTTGTTAAATTTCCAGAGATTGGCCGTCTAAAGTTCGAGCCACAAATTAAAAAGATAGATCACCAACCATATATCATTGAAAAATCTCACTCAAATAAACTAATGATCCCACAAACATCTCTATATATTTAACTGAATCACTAAAAACAAGGAATGCTTACTTAACCAAAGATTGACAGACACATCACACCATTTTTTTTTGTGTGTAATAGATTCAGTCAACAAAAACCCTCTTAAAGAAAAAGCAAAAACAAAACTGCTAAGCAAAAGAGCCAATTACAGCACCAAAGAACAAAGCACCTTAGCCCCCTTTGTCTCTCTCATAATAATACATATAATGATTGAAGTTCTACTTTACTTATGTACTGCACCTATATTTGAGCATAAAGATAAAAAGATTAATCAATCATTTTTTTCCCAATGCAATGAGACCCTTTTCTTTGTTGTCTTTCACTTAAAAAAAGGTGGAACCCCCCGCCCCCTCCGGAGGGTCCCCCCACAACCCTACCCGAGGGTTTGTAGAGAAGATAAATCGCGGGATGTGCCTCTCAAAAACAGAAATATCTTTGCTACGACTAATCTCGCCTATAAGGTCCGAATCCAAAGACTCGCAAACGGCCTTTGCCAATCGAGTCGGGGGGTGTTGGCTTCCACTTCAAGACCACAAAAAGCAGCTTAACAAGAATTTCAAAAGGCAGAAATAACAAATTAAGAGTATTTATGTTACCTATGTTCTAGCCTATGAGTGCCTAATAATATCACTATAAAGAGGGATGGAGTTTAGTACTCAAATAAAATAGACTCTACCTAAATTATGTTTTCACTTTCTCTTTTTGGGTTGTCGGTAAAAGACAATAATACCCTGAAAAAGTTATCACTTGCCCACAAATTAACTTGTCATTTCACCAATTACCTTACCCAAACGGGATAAAGGGGGGCCATTTTTCTTACAACTAACTAATTTTATAAAAAGAAAACAGACTTGGTTGAAATTTGTTTGGAAGAGAGTTGCTAACAGGCACATATTCCATTCTTGGAAAGGGAAGTGGAGAAGTACAAATTTTATTTTGAGAAGAAAAAGGAAATTATGAATTTAATTTGGGGGGGAAAGGGAGTGGTTTAATAAATATGAAGTGTAAAAGCAACAAATATGGTGATTAATACTTTGAAGTTTGAATATATATAACTAAAACTGTCAGTCCCAGAAGTATTCATGGATGCATAGCAGAAAACATTTTCACCTTAACAATTTCCACACTTCTATAGTCTCTTTTTTACCTCTCCAGAAAAATAAAGGTTAAAACAATGTTACCACATGAGAATTTATATCCAAACCAGGCAGACTCTTCAAAAGTTGTTTCCAGAAAATCATTTCAACAGAGGAAAGCAAGCAAGAGACATTTGAATATACTCATCTGGAAATAATGCCACAGAGGAAATAAAGGCATCAACATTGGGTTTCCCAAAAGTGAAAATTTATCTTAGAACTCAAACTCCTCGGAAAGAACAGCTCGGTCCTGACGGTGTTGGGCTCGCTTTCATTAAGTTTAAATCGTCAAACACATGCCTGAACTTACTTAACACTAAATTCATGCAAACGAAAACTAAACTATGCAAACAACAAAAAAATTCCAGTAAAGTGACCTTCAAGCAAAAACATGTAAACATTAAGCAGCAAACCCTATAAGAGTAATGGAAAAGTTGAATCCAATGGTAATGCAAGGTGCAATATCATGGAAAGAAGGAAAAGCACATGATACAGTTCAGAACAATTGAGTATATCAACCAATCATACATAAGGGGAAGAAGTTCAAAAAATAAATATCAAGCCCTCAAAGGAAGCTGAGTTTTACCCAAGGCATAAACGTCAAGCTTAAAGTTCCCAATTGTGCATAAACATTGTCAAGAGCTGGGATTACATTGTGAACAACATAACTTATTAACTTAATCTAAACACTTGTTTGGGTTGGTTTCAAGTTTTGAGCTGTTTCAAGTTTTAATATAACTTACACATAATCATTAGTTCGGGTAAGTATGCTATAGACGTATATCAAGAAATTTCTAAAATGAGCAGTTCTGGTTTACTACAAAATGTATATCATGAAACATTTTAATTCATAACACGAAAAACAATTTAAAAATCCCCCCCAACAGGTCCAAGTAAGGGTTGAGCTATATAAATTAGCTATTCAGATCAATTTTATCCGAATATGGTAATGATACAAACTGGATAACAGTGGTAAGGAATGTCCAAGGGATAAGTAAACACATTTTTCTATATCTGGAATCCACAGGATGAACTTCTGAGAGGGATAAGAAAAATCCCAGAAATATATATGTGTTTGGTAGAGAAGAACAAATGTAGCGTTTCTCTTCGTTATAATTAAGCATACATTTACAGAAAATGGAAATTTCTATATAGCCAAAATTCAACATTTTCACCTTGCAAATGTACATATTCCAGACTACTGCTATTAGTATGTTTCAACAAAGATAACATCATTTAAGTTCCTAAAAAGTTTACCTTTTTTGCTGTGTTGGGAGTTGGGACTGTAATTCTTCAAATACCCTTCCATGTTGGGCTAGAAAGAGGAACTGTGGGTGACAGAGGGAGCTGTGGGAACCCTAATTGACCCACTGGGGAATGCAGCAGATTTGGGGATAGCAAGGCACAGGGCGATCTAGGGGAAGGAAGGCAGCTGAAGGGCAGTGGAGAAGATGGCATCGCCGGATATGGTTGTAAGGCTGCTGGAGATGATGATGCTGGCGGCGGAATGTTCTGCTGCTGTGGAGGAAAAAGTGGGTGATGCTGTGGCGGAGGAGCCAGGCCGTTCCACCTAGGGGAAGCAAGAGGGGCATGTGGGGGAGGGCCGGATGAGAACCGCTTGGAGTCAAGACCTGTTCCGTTAAAAGAATTCTGGAGGAATCTCATGTAGGCAGAGATCGGCGACTCTGCCGCCGCGTGCACAGCCGGGAACGGTGGTAGAGGGGAGAGAGGCTGTGCCTGAGCCGGGCGCTGTCCGCAGACAAACCCTACTCCGGCCTGCCTCGGATTGGGCGGAATCAGAGAAGCCGGACGGTTGCCAATTTGGGCAAGCGGCGGAGGGCGAATGCGCTGTAGCCGCGAACTCTGCTGCTTGGGGTGCTGGATCGGAGGCGGAGTCGATATCCGCTCGTGCGCCGGAGATCCGGTGAGTTTCTGAACCACATCGCGAAAGTCACTCTTGTTAATGTTATACACCGGCGGCTGTTGCTGAGGCGGCGCCGGATGGTGCTGCTGCTGCTGTAGAAGACTGTGCACCACCTCCACCGCCGCCGAAGCCGGCTGCGATTGCAGATCCCGGATTTCAAACTGAGAAGTTTGTAAACTGCGATTCTCGTAAACAGGAGGCTTCCGGACAGATTTAGAGATCTTATGCGATATCTTATTGAGATGCTTCAAATACTCAGCAGAAGAGGATGATGAATCGCCACCGTCGCCGGAGGAATCGCCTCCTTTACTCGTATTCATATTTCCCCTCTCTCTCTGACCTCCGGCACCGATCTTCAACCGGCGATTATAACTACAGTCGGACAGGGTAAAACCAAGAAGAGTACGGAGTGCGTGTATATATAGTAATTGTATGTATATGATGGGGGCCAAGGCGGTGACCAGTGACTGACTCTATGTACAGTACAACAATGCGGAAATAATGGGGTTTTGTATTGATATCTTTATGTCACGCATTAATTCCGCTAATTATTGTGGTTGGATGAATGACATTCTCTTTTCTTTTTTTTGAATATTAATAACTCTATTAGTGACTATCAATTTCGACCCAAAACCGTATTAATCAAAAAACTTTATGACTCAAAATAATTGATTGAATTGAATCAATTTTGGGCTAAAACCAAATAAACTGAAACATACAATAATCGAACCGAAATCGTCAATAACAGAATAAACCTTGAATTTTAATCTAATTATGAAATAATAAAAAATAAAAGTAAACAATAATTACAAAAATGTAAAAATTCATATTTAAGACATTTAATGTTAAATATGTACAAATTTAATTCGTAAAAAATTAAGATTAACTAAATGCGAATTTTATTAGTAAAAAATTTATTTAACACTTCAATTTGTAAATTAATTAATAAAGCAGAAAGATTAAATAAAAAATAAAGAGATAAATATGGACAAATAGGTGTCTTGGAAATAAAAGGAATAAATGATTGAAGGACATAGTTGGGCTCAATCCACTTATTTGGACTTAAAAATAGGTAATATTAATTTAATAAACATTAAGGGTGAACATGGATTTCGGTTATTCGGTTAATCAAATTAAAGAACCGCAAACCGACCAAATTAACCGAAAAGTGATAATTTGAGAATGGGTAATCGAAATCGAAACTAAAAAATCGATTATTTCAATTTTCGGTTTTCGGTTTCACGGTCGGTCTAGTTATTTTGCTCACCCCTAACTATAACATATTCTTCATAAACAATAATAACTTTATAATAATATAATATTTGTTCATATGTTTTCTCAGTCCAACAAGCATGTAGAGTTATTACACCAACTGGGAATCAAATTTCTGACCTCTCATATGAGAGAGTCACTTTCATGACGTTGATCCACAAGATTTTTGGCACATTCTCTCAATGTTTGTGCAGGTATTAGTGACAGGCCTCACTTTCAATCAGTATCAATTTATTTATCTTCCCTCAATTCACTACCTGAAGTGATACTAGAGGATATTAGGAATTGAGATTCAACCTATTTTTGCTAATTTACTAAGCATCACTTATTCAAACACTAATTAATTATTGATCTTTTTTATGGGGGAAATGGTGGTTGTATTAGTAGGATAAGAACGAACTATGTGACCCTCGTCTTCGAACACTTGGCAAAGTGATCCGAACAAATTAGATTGGGTCCTTTCTCGATTTTGAACAAATTGAAAGCCAACTCGACTGTGGCTCATCAATCGTCAAGTTCTAAATCTCATAAGGACCCTCCTAAAAAGAGGGACAAAGATTTGAAGGGAAAAAGGCTTCTTTGTCCTAATATCAACCGTGAAATCCATAACAAAAGAGAGAATCTAACTTGTGTACCGCAATTTTATAGTCTAGGCATGACATGTCTGTTAGACTCTAAGCAAAGATCTAGGCGTGACAATGGTTCTGTCTTCATTATCTTTTCATCTAGGGTTTCAACATGCCCTTTATTGACTATCAGTTCTTTAGCCCACTTTTTTGAACTAGTTGTTGAGTATCTAGCAGTGTTTCTACCCACAATGTAATTACATCTGCGGTGTTTCCTCTCCATCTCAAGGCAACGTAATCATCGTCACTATCCCATACCCAATTAACGCTTGTCATCCTGTTATGTGCAAGCCAATTGGTCCTTATTTCTCTTTCTAACCCGAGAGAGCCTAAAGGACTCTAGGGATTTTTCGTCTTTATCATTCAAGAAACTCGTCAAACAACCTCACCAGATCAACTTTTCCATCCCGTTCTTCAAAGGGAAGCAATCAATTGTGTTATGGTCGTTCTTGTGATGAAATCGACACAATTGCATTGTAATGATAACTTTGCAAACATTGTCTAAGAATGTGGGGTAGATGATCAACCTTTTCTGATCTACATATGCAGTATATTTCCCACAGGAATTAAAAAAGATGTCAACTTTTTAGATTTAGGACGCTTCCCCATTTTGTGCTCCTTTAGGCCCCAAGGAAAGCCCTTCTTGCCTTTAAAATTCTTTGAGCTAGGGATATTTATGAGCTAGAACCAAGATGCTTTACCTTGTGATCTTCCTTTTCGTCCACATCAACATACCTTTTTGCCTGGAGAATTGCATCTTCGTCTGACTTCGGGGTGTAGTGGAAAGGTTGGTATGCAATGGACCTTTTAACAATGTCGTCGTGAACATGAAAAGTTGGGACTTATCATCCACAGCTTCAACTTATGACACTTTCTTCCTCCATTACGCTAAAAATACCTTTATCGTCTTGCCACTTCTTAACTTGATTGTTATGAGGTGAAAGTAATGTTTCTTAGGCCCGCAATTTTTAGAAAAATATGCTAAAAATGTAATCGAGTTGGTCCCATTTGTCAATGGAACCCCGCAGTATGGTTAAAATCCAATTTGCCACCTTGCTATAAACGGTTTGAAGGAAATAATGACACACCAGTTCATCGGCGGCTCCTACAGAGATCATGTTTTAGACATAACTCGCAAGGTGTTCTTGGGGATCATACTCTCCAATGTAGTCCTCATGGGCGGGACCGTGAATCCTGCTAGATACGGGCACGCCATCACCTTTGTTGTGAAAGGGGATTCAACATAATTGTTGAAAATATTCCCTTTCAGAGTGTTTAGTTTCAACTCCATCCTTTGCAAGCATTGACGCAGATCTTGGATCTACGAATCTTCCGACTGTGAGACCACGACTTTGCATATATGCTCTCTGATATAAATTCTCTCTCTTAGCTGGATTTCGAGAACCCCCGAATGGTCCCAATTTCAACTTTGTACTTCTATCTCGTCGTCCCTCAAAATGTTTAATGAAACCATGGAACCTTTTTGTTGTATTTAGGTGCCCTAGCGGCAATTAAATACATATGTAACTGTACACTTTATCATGAATGAAAGGCCTTGAAATATGTTTTATATCTCGTGTAACATAACATAGCTTCAGTCCATAGACGATAGCACTTCAGTAACATAGATGAGGACTACGATGTTCTGATTATGAGACTGTTACTTCTTGACGAAGGCTATGTCTAGAATATTCCTAGTCGCACTTTATGATAATACGGACGTCATAAAGTATCAAGACTAGTACTGTAACACCCCAACCCGCGTGACCCGAATACGAGGACCAGCGGATCGGGTTGCTACTAGATTGGCATTCAGACACAATAATTTTCAAAACAATTTAAAAACATTTAGTTTAAAACGATATTTAAATATTCATCGGAGTTCACAAAATGGTGCGGAAGCCTTTAAGTATTTAATCAAAATACAACTTTGGGTTCTTGCCCTTAAAAACATAATTAATTTAAATGGAATAACTAAACTAGATAGCTCCTCCAGCCAGCATCCATCCACCTCTCTGCCCTTGCTGCCCTCCAGGATATTTCCTTATTCATCATTCATATTACCTACGTGTAGCAAATAGGAAAAAGGGCTACACGCTCCGCATTGAAGCTGAGTGGAATCTATCTGACGTTCCGACTACGCGTACAGACGAACCCACTAGCTCATAACCTCATACAATATCATGCACACAAGTATACAACATAATATCACATAACAGTCATTAAATAAATTCACGAGTAACAATTCATTACCCTATCTGTCTTCATTCATAGCTCATAACATAATTACAAGGCTAAGACCATACTTCCTTATTTACAAGCTTATGTTCGGACTTGGAGCCACTACCTACGGCCATGACTCAAGTCTACCTTATTTAGCACCTTATGACACAACACAACCTGATGACCAACGAAGGAGTTCTCCGCTGGGTGGGTGGTACCCCTGTCCCCTTCGGAACGACAGTTCTTGGATCCCGTACGTACGTTTTAACCCGCAGCCGTCGGATATCAGATCCGCAGGGCTGATCCTATCTATTGACATTTATACTTACAATTGTACTAAAGCAGTCCTAGAGTTCCTCTAGGTAACTTAGCCATTTACTTACAACATCTCTACCATTCAGACTTATTCCAACATAAATCTCTATTTCTTATTTACTTCCAAATTACAACATGATTACATTTAATTAACACAAGAGGGGTAACAATGATCAGATAACCAATCATATAACTCANCAGATCCGCAGGGCTGATCCTATCTATTGACATTTATACTTACAATTGTACTAAAGCAGTCCTAGAGTTCCTCTAGGTAACTTAGCCATTTACTTACAACATCTCTACCATTCAGACTTATTCCAACATAAATCTCTATTTCTTATTTACTTCCAAATTACAACATGATTACATTTAATTAACACAAGAGGGGTAACAATGATCAGATAACCAATCATATAACTCAACTAGTGGCCTAGTGGCGGGTGTAACCACCTTCCACTTACCGTCATGCAAATCACACAATTTAGAGTAAGAATACATACCTGGTCATCCTCGTTCAATCAATTCCAATATTATCATAAGATATAAATAAATCACAATTCAATTATAAACAAATAAACAACGTAATCAATCATACAAAACTACGAACGTGAATTTCAAATTTATATACATAATCTAGCGTTAGATGTGCAAGTTCTGACCTCGGTTATTTGACGAACTAATCAAAACAAGTCAGCGAATCAAACAGTGGAGGAGTCGTGGTCCGCAGTGCAAACAGCGGCTTTAGACCGGCGGCAACCAGCGGCGTGTTCCGGCTCTGTTCTGCTTTCCCTTCCTCTCTTTTCCGCCGCACAGAGGTACTCTGTAATTGTTTCTTTTCTTTTCTTCCCTTCCATCGTGTGCGTGCGTGTATTATTTATAGAAGGGGGGAAGGGTTTTGGTGTTTGCGCGTTTGGGTAGTTTAGGTCGTAGGTTAGGAGTTTTAGATTTAGGAAATTCTTTTATTTTATTATTAAAATCTTTATATTTATTTATTGAACTGTAATGTTTATTTTATTCACCACGCTTTATACGTATGTCCAAATTTAACAAATTATATACCGTTAGTCACCATTTTACGAGATCTATCCGAAAACCCAATTTTCATTTAAAATGGATAAATTTACAAATAATTCATATTTTAGAGTAAATAAATATTATACTTATTTTTATTAAAATCGCGGCTAACTACTAAGCCGGTTTTTGGGTCGTTACAAGTACGTATGAGATGAGATAGTTGCGTCTCATAGACTATAGGTATTGTGATATCTTAATCTGTACGTAGGTGCATATTATATCGAGAATATGTGACTGGATTGACCCATCTTGAGAATACTGCATGGATCTACAGTAATGTGTTTATCAGTATTCTCAATCCGACATTGCTATAACTATCCTCAGACTTGAAGTTAGTACATTCTCTTATATGTGGGGCCGTATGCTTTGATTCATAACTAATGCTATCTGAAATACTCGTAGACGTATAGTTATGCGTTGGTATGCCGCTAAGCATATTTGGAGATGTGAATAACAGATACAGAATCTGTCCCTTCTACTGTATAGAAGTATAATGTCAATGGGCCACTGATTAGTAGGATTTGGGAAAGTGCATGGTCATGCCCAGATATGTCATTAACCAGAGACTGATAAATATCTGATCCCTACCAGTCTACTTGAGATTCAGTAACAGGTGATTTAACTATACAAGGATACACATCTCATGCCTTGTGTTAAATCATGACATTTAGGACAGAAGGATAATATTTATAAAACGTCTTCTGACGTAGAAGGTATTGATGAGATGAACGTCTTTTTCATAATCTGGGGGTAATAATGTATTGCTAGATACTGCTTATTATATATGATATTAATTTATATTAATATCATTGCCAGTGTTATGGATACCTAAAGGGTCACACACTTAGGACTTGTAAAGGAATAGTATACTACACTAGTGGGAGTAATATTAAACATATAGTTGTGATAATTATATATATATATATATATATATATATATATATATATATCTGTATGTGTATGTATATATATGTATGTATGTATTTTGAAAATACATATGTATTTTAAAATTATATTTTGTTTGTGTCATTTTAATTATATGATAATTATATTTTGACAAAACAATTTTTATTTTATATATATGTAATGCCGAACTTATATATATTATTTTATTTTCATCATTTTAATTATATGATATTTATTGATGTTAAAATAAAATATGATGTACATTATTTTTGTGCATAAAAATCCAAGACCATTTTGATTTTATACATAAAGTATTCTTAATGTCAAATTGATATATTTGATTATTATTTGATGTAGGGATTCTATTTTTTTGGTAGCTAATATATTAAACATTTACACATGATGTTAAAACATATACATGGATTTATGTTTAACATTAATTTCCTATCAATTTCCTAAATATACTTTATTATAAAATGAGGTATTGAGTTTTAATGAAAACACACAAAATATTTTCGGCCATCTCATTTTAGAGATAAGATTATTTTATTTTGTGTTCAAAGTTAATTTTTTTAAAGTATTAGAAATATATACAAAATATTATAAAGAAATATTTATAAGATAAATATTTTACTATATATTTATTACTCCCAAAGTAATATTATTATAGTTTTACTATCCTATATTAAACTTGCTAGCACAAGTTTAATCTAGGACTCTGGAGCAAGTTCGTGTTGATACATTGGACGCTTCATACATTTGGTGTTACGTTCATCTCCTCAAAATCATCCCCGACCGTTTTTCCGTTCTTTGTTTTTCACCGTTAAGGTAAATTTTTTACTATAGCTAGTAACTTACGTAAGTTGTTCTTGGGTGGAATCGAGTTTTGTACTTCTACCTCGTCGTCCCTCAAAATGTTTAATGAAACCATGGGACCTTTTCCCCTCGACATCTGTACCACCTTGCACCATGAGTTTGCCTTTCTCCAAACTAACCTTGCAGCCGCTCTTGTCTTCAAGTGCGTTCCCAATCTTTTGGATATCGGGGCCCTAATGGCAGATATCCTTCTAAATACCCCACCCCCTCGGGCCACAACTTCCACATCATGTGGGAGTTTTTGATCCCAAGATAGGGGTATCAATGAATGACTCACTAGGTACCCATCTTATGTTGGTTTCCTTGGCAGCGCCAGGATTCACTTGAACCTAATCTGCTCATTATACTCTTTGATCTGTTCACTTTCAAGTTCCAACTTGAGCCAGGTTCAGGGATAATTCGTTCGTTGAGGTTATGGTTCCAAATGGGCATAGGCGTTTGTGACAGGGGCGTGTCCTTAGAACCTGGCGGATGGCGTTTGAGTCTTCCAAAATCAGCGGATAGGAGGAACCAGGTAAAGAATCTAGTTTGTCCATTATATGAGACAACATTACCCCAATGTTATTCATCATCGCCTCTTACGTCAGAGGTTGAGTGATGAGTGCCCGTTTTCTCGTAAGAAATATTTGCACTAAATAGCACTAAAACTTAAGTCATTTCCCTAAATAGCACTTAAACTGTTTTATTCTCTAAATAACACTTATAATGTCCAGTGATGGCGAAATTTTGCTTGAATAATGACTAATGCATAATGACTAAAAGTGCTACATTGAGAAGAAAAACATATGTAGTGCTATTTAAGGAAAGTCATTATGTTTTAGTGCTATTTAGGTAAATTTCTCTTCTCGTAAATGGTTGGGGGGTTAGCCGAACACTGGGTGGTCATCCGAGCAGCACGCCTAGCGTTATTTTGAGTTTTTCTTCTTGCCATAGTTCTCTAAACAATTTCACACAGCTCCTGACAAGAGCACCATTTGGTGGAGTTCAAAATCCAATCACAAAAATATTAATCTCACAATATGTTGTGTAGTCAATGAAGTTTGGAGCCCTATGTTGCGTCCCAATTCTCTCATTTTCTATCACAACACAATTGTCATAAATCTATGAGATTCTCGTAGGCTTTAACCTTTCTACCACCTAGCTCACTCGCATTCCCCTGACAGGCCTCACTTATCCCTACGATCCGTCGATATGGCATACTCACATTCTTATCTCGTGAAATCGATCTCTATCGATAACATTATTGTTTAAACTATTGGAATACACCATTCTAAACCTAGGTGATTCTTATTCATAACCTCTTATAAACCCCACACCTCCTAAGACCGTCTGTAATGCCTCACTAAGCACTTTCGTGAGTTGAGTTGGCATTGCCACCTTGGCAATTCTTCCCATTGAACACTGTGCCCCTTGTGTCCGTGAGTCATGCATCGTGACTATTATCACGGAGAGAAGAAGTGGAGTGTTCGATTTTTTCTTCTTCTTTGTTTACTCCATATTTCTTTTGTTTTTTCCTTCTTTGTTTGTTTCTTTTATTTTTAGTTTTTTGTTTAGTTTTTTTAGTTGCTTTCTCTTTTTTGTTTAGTTTTGTTTAGTTTCTTTCTCTTTTTTTTAGTTTTTTTCGCAGGGTAAATTTCCTTTTATTATTATTATTTCATTTTTTATTGTTTGTATTTAGCTTTTTAGTAGTAGTTTATTTAAGAGATGTTTAAAACGTTATCTAATTCTTTTATATATAAATAGATAGAATTTAATTTGAATAAAAATATTTTAAATTGAAAATAAATATTATTTAAGAGATTATCTTTTTTTGGTGTAGTAATTTTTAATAATATAAAAAGGAAAAAAATTAACAAAAATAATAATGAAAAAATAATAATAATGAAAATATAATAATAATAATAATAATAATGAAATAAATTTGTATTAATTTGTAGTATTAATTTATAAATGACATAATTTAATTTGAATATAAAAAGGAAATTATTTATAATAAAAAATAAAAGAATAATCATTGGAGTGGTGGTGAGATATTACAGGTGTAGGTGAGTGAAATGATGAATATAGATGTGGTGTTGATTGATGATGATGTCCTCGATGGGGAGTCTCTTCTAAGGGATGTATCGGTGGCAAAACTTTCCAATCACCAACATTCAAATTTTCTAAAAAAAAGTGATCGAACGGTTCAATCCTACAACTGTAACAACTTAAATATCTCTGAACAAAGTATTTTTCTAGAACAAGATCATCTGCAAGTTGTTAAAAAGAATGATACATGCCATGAACATGCACACAAGGGATTGCATCTGTAATCCATTGTCCACACGTGAAAATCTTATTAGCCAAATCCACCACATAATTGTACGTAGTACCTGGATAAGAACGAGAAGTGTGGCTAACAATATATTGATAGTTACCATAATTGGTAGCCACCCACTTGTGTTTTGTCTTCTCATGGTGACGAAGAATTATTGTAATTCTAGGAGTTGTGCGGATGTTCTTGTGCACCCATTGAACAGCAACCTTGTGCCTTTTTTCAAATGATTCAACCATTTTGTTGTAGGACATCTTCAGCATTGCCGCAACTGGCAACATTCGACAACCTTTGAGCATATTATTTAATTTTTCTAAACTACCGATTGTAACAATCCCACATCTATTTCCACAATCATAGCAAAGAGTCCACGCCTCACGCGGAATATCGTTCAA